AAGTGTAATGCGTGTCATGAGCTGGTTTGAATTAATACTTTTTTTTTTTTTAAGAATAACTAATATAATAAATGTTTAATTGTTTGATAGATGTTTTGAAATACATGATTTAATAAATAAATGAATACATTGTAGCTCAAACTGGGTGCAGAACTGTCACTTGTTTTTTTTTTTTTTTTTTTTTTTGACAAATAGCAGATGGGGATTTTTTTTTTTAAGGTTCACTTCTATTACCCCATCCATCTATCCATCTATCTATCATTCATTTAAGCCTAATTAATTTGATTTTAAATACAGTTTTAAATAAAGTATTTTGTCATGTGCGTTGTGGACAACATGTGCTTGAGGTATATTAATTAAAAAAATGACATTTAAAAAAAATACAAATTTAATCAAGCCAATCATTGAATTTGATGACAACTCTTTCTAAATAACATGAGTGTGGCTGCGTGGCTTGAAATTCTTTTTGTTTCTTAGTTTTTTTTCTCACCATTTGCAGATGGAGGAGTGTTTGCAAAACATATTAAAATATTTATTTCCTTTTTTTCTTTTTGGAAATTTTGTTTGTTGTTTGTAAAGAATTTTTTTTTTTCAATTAAACTTATTTGTAGAGGGTGTTGTTTGTGACACTGATTTTGGCAACAACATGAACAGCAGAATCAACAAATAGGAGAACAAAAATAAAGTCAAAACAAAATCTGATTGTAGTTGACAATAGCATATGACTTCAAGGGCAGGGTTATTTTTTTAACAATAGCAATATTTGGAATATGTTAAAATACAAACAAAAAGTAGTTTGTTTTGATGAAAGCAAACATATGAAATCATGAAATCAATTTACAATGTTTATTTGACAAAAAACACGTCATTCGTAAAATATTTATTTTAAAAGTTTGCTTTGTTATCTTCAAAGTCTGACCCTGACCGTTGCAACTCCCGAATTTTCATTGCCAATTTTAAGCCAATTGCAATCGTTTGTTTTGGTTCAATTTTGAATTTCCCCAACCATTACCATTATCCAACCAGAGTAAGGCCCAATCCCAATTATACCCTTTAGCCCTTCCCCTTACCCTCATTCTGCGTGTTCACATGAAGGGGTATGGGTGTCCCAATTCTCTTTATCTTGATGGCGTAGGGCAAAGAGGAAGAGCTAGATAGCTTTCGAAAAAGAGATTTTTCAGGACCACACTCAAAACCAAGGAGAAAGAAAATTTTCCAGAATACACCAGCCACAATGGCTGCATAGCTGCACCCAGAAGTCATGAGATGCACTAATTTGTATTTTTTGTCATTATTACAAATTTTTACGACAAACAAGCACATGTTTTAATACATTTATAACTGCGTTTGCATTTTACCATCATCCTTTAAAAACAAATTATTGGGATTGGCCCTAAAGTGCTCCAGCTTGGCCACCCCTAGTCCCCATTTGCTTCTGTGTTTGGAGTGACGGTACTTTTCTGTTAAAATCAGTTTGACATCTTCAGCCACAATTTTTTTTTTTAATCTTACAATGGAATGACATGGAAAAAGAAAGCCTCACCCCTTACTCAATAATCTGTTTTATTACATCAAAATACTGAAACAAAAGAATCAAAAGAAACAACTTCCGTTTCACTGAGGCATTGATACTCTTTCTAAACAAATCTAAACTTTGTGTTTTAAAAATGATTTAGGCTACTGTGGAAAAGACTGTAATTCCTTTAGTCACCATGAAACCAAAGTTAAGATCGTCCAAATTTTCTTCTATCACAATTTACATTCACATTAAACAGTTCCTAAATTAGATAAAAAATGTAGGGCAATGCATGATTTCTGCATTGAGGCACCGATTGGATTGTTGGAAAATGAGTGTTTGATTGAAGATTGATGAACGGACAAAAGTAGGTCAGAAACAAGACAAGCACCGAGAGCCCCTCCCAAGAAGCACTCCATATGACCAGAAATGAAGAAAAGCCATTTTGAAGGGGACGGAAGGTTATGGCACTTGATAAAAGATTATGAAGGCAAATTAATTTGTACAAAATAATGAAGAACGCAAATAAATAGTTTATAACAAGCGCACTACTATATACATATTTTGATTTCGTTCTGACTGTAATTACAGACTAACAAAACAAACAATGGCTTACTAAAAAAGCTTACTAAGAAATATAGAAATGAAACATACAAACTTATTTGGAAGTTATTATGCCAAAACAATATTTAGCTTACTGTACAGGACTGCATAATCCCCCTTTCCCTCAAACTGCTCATAAATACTAAAGATAGTGTAAGTGTCTGTGCATAAAAGCATCTTTAAAATACATTAAATATAAATATAAAGTCCTGCAGCCCATATTTCATGCCAGATGCAAATATGCAGCACGGCCAATAGCATGTTAACATGCATAACGAGCAACCGCAGAGAACATTTGAGCATCTCTGCATTCATTTGCTATATTTAGAGTAAGCTTGAAGTGCTCAATTAGAGACGAAACCCGTCACAGAAAAACACACTAATTACAGAGTGTATGAGGCCAGTTTCAGTTAAATCTCCTATTGAACGTACAGTAGGAGAAAGGAGGATTCTCATACATTTCATGAACACACAAAAACTACAGTGAGTTGAAATGTTGCATATGAAAGATATGATAATTGCATGGCGGGGAGGAGTTACACTTGACAGCTGAATGCAAATGCAGCTCGCAGATTCACTGATGATTTATTTAAAGGGAATTTCCCTCTTTGACCCGTTCAGACGTGGCTCACAGTAAAACACAGTTCACTTTCACCCCGTGTTGCCCTATTTAACACTTTAACCCCTAAATATGCATACATACTTATGGTTAAAATGTCAACATGGCTTAGGATGTATTAAGATTTAATTTAAAGTGACTGTTTTCAAGTATTTTCTATTCTTCATGCATAAAAAAAAAAAACCACACAAACAAGGACATTTGATAATCCTCATATACTTTTATATATATTTTACATAGAAATTAATATATATATATATATATATATATATATATATATATATATATACACATACAGTGCTCAGCATACATAAGTACACCCTCCATAAATCTCTGATTTAAATTTATATTTTCTATAAGATGCTTTACGATATTATATCAATGCGCATTAGTTTAGCCAGTACTGAAGCCAAATCTGGAGCCAATATAACAAAATAACTTACAATTATGGTTCAAAAATTAGTATTCCGAATTTTTATGTTTGGGGAAAATATTCAATATTTTTTCAAAAATATCAAAAATTAACAAACATATATATATATATATAAGGTTTTGTGGAAATTTTGTAGGCTGCAATGCTTTTTTGTAATATTTTGCTTGAATTTAAATGTATTATCTGTAAATTTCTAAATATGTTTTGTGGCTAAAATATTAATTTAATAAATACATCTGTTTGATAAATCTGTTTTGTTCAAATGCACCAATATTACCCATATTCCCTGAGAAATAGATACATATATTCATTTTTAAAATGGGGGTACTTTTATTTGCTGAGCTCTGCATATATTAATAAATATACGCCCATTGTGATATACAAGTTTTTCTTTTTCTTTAGAAAGGACATTTGGCAATTTAACAAATGTTTAGATTTGTTGTCACTGAAAATCACGTTTATTCCACTAATTGATTTCAAAAGTTGAAAAGTGTTGAAACAACTTATAATGTTACAATGACTAAATGTGCATTTAGATGAAATTATATTAATACTTTGCAGAATTAAGTGACTGCTGTTAGACAATAAAAAATGTAAACAATAATGTGTGTGTGTGTGTGTGTGTGTTTTAATAAATATAGTTAATGCAATTATTCTAGTGAGATTATATTGACTAAAAATTGACTTTTGGATTTGGAGCTACTGATATATAAGTAAAATATTCATCTGTTCCAGTGTCACCATTTTTCAATAAGGAAAACAAAATTGTTTCCCCTGAATTTTAGCATGATTCCCCTCGAATTTAATATCCTTACAATTATATGTTTAATTATTAAGCTTGTTTACAGTTATATTAAAATGTTTAGCATACAAAAAGACTAATAAATAAAACTCTTATATATACACCTCTGCTACTGTATAATGTAACATATTGGCCTATAGGTTATAAAAATAGGCATATTAAATAATTTGCTTTATTCAAAGCAAGTTAGAAATTAAGCATACATTATAGACCTACATATTTCCACAGTGGCACACTAACTGATGTTGCTTTTATTTAACATGTTTATTAGTACAGGAAAAAAAAACATGCTGGCTTGAAGATGGATGAAATGTCCGTGCACACACTTCTTTTGTTAACAGGCGCCATCTTGTGGTTCATCTTTACAATACAAAGGCTTGTTTTAAGTCACAGTAGCGCTAATTTCAAACGTTTTGCATTTTCTAGGTCAGGTTTATGCACCTGACGAGCACAAAAGCGGGTCAAATTAACCATAAGGAAATACCTTGACCCGAATGCACAAGTGACACTGCTCGTGTTTATGTTCACCTGTGAAATAGGCATGCTTTTTGTTTAAGCCTTATGCACCCGTTTGGTGTGAGTAATTTGTTTCATTGTATTTCATTTTACTAGGCCCGTGTGGCACATCTGGCATAAGAGAAGACACGCATCACTGTATTCTTGAGAAAACATTTTAAAAGTAACTTTTTAAATATTGGACCTTATTCTTGAAACAAAAATTACCAATAAAAAAGCTGTGAAGCACCAAGAGCGTATACATATTTAAATAGGTTTTTGGCTTAAATCGTCAAAAGTGTGGTTATGTCTACCCGACAAGCTAATTCGGAAAAGTGCTTAAATGTCACTAAAATACAGTATTTAAATTTCACAATTAAATAGAAAATGAGGTGTATAATTACAAAACAGTCCACTTTTTGAGAGAAAAGAACCCTTTTCACCAGGCTGGATCCTGATAACATCTTATTTAAAATAGAAAACATTGCAATGAAGAGGCATTCTATTGGTGAATAAAAACAATTACCAGTCATATTGTTCAAGCCTTTATTATTTTGTTAACTTACATCTGCTTAAAATGAAAATAGGTAGCCTATGAAAGATTCAGAAACACACAGTAAAAAGAAAGATAGTTTGATGACAGCTGTAGTACAAGTCATCCTTGCCATATTTTGTTATTCTTGAACATAAAAAAAATATATTCACATCAAACTTCCAATACAACATAATTTAGACGCAAGATTGTGCTTTGATAGTTTTCTAAAAAAAAATGGTAAGGTCCTATTTTACAATACATTCAAATGCAATTTGATAGCCTAATAAACTCAGATCATAAAGCAACACCTTTACACGTGTGAATAAACAATCAATATAAACAGATTTGTCACAAATATCATAATTACACAGAAAAAAATCAAACCTGAGAGGAAAAGTTTAAAAGGATCAGTAACATGCCGATCAAATGACAACAAATGTACTGTAAAAACTAAAATATAACAAAAAATATCCGAAATATTAATTTTTACAATTTTGGCAGAGACACTTGGTGTCGAATCAGTAAAATGTAACTGTTAGCTGAATAAAAATGGCTAAGCTTCAACAGTGGCGGCGGGCCCGTTGGTTGTGGCCTCCGGTGTGTTTTTCTCACTGTCTCCCTCTGCTGGTGAAGCCGCGGCACTGCTGTTCTCCTTGGCCTCTGGCTCACTGCTCTCTGTTTTACCGTCTTCCGTCTCCTTCTGTACGGGAACAGGAGTGCTGTTGGCGGGCTCGGTGGCGGCCTCAGCGGCGGGCTCTGCGAGGAGCGCGGTGGTTTCGTTAATCTGCACAGGTGTTTCGTTTATGATCTCCGCGCTGTCGGTTGCAGCCGGTGTCTTTACAGTGCCATTTTGCACCGGGAAGGCGCCCTCCAGAGCCGTGTAGAGGAATTGATACTGCTCCTGTGGTGAATTCAGAGAATTTTAACTTCAGAAGTCTAACTTAATATAGTTTATAAACTTGTTTGATATGCATTTACAAACTATTAATTATTTTTAACCATTAAGTTTAAGTAGCATTTTTAGCATATGCTAGCAAAAACTGTTTGAATTAGCTCAGGCTAAAATATGGTTTGTCTGTGGCCCTGTTTGTTAACTTTTCTCTGAGGTACTTCAAAAACTATATTAATTTTGTGTTAAAAGCACTTTTAAGAAACGTTTTGACAAGGGTTAGCAAGGGTTTAATTAAAATATGACTGTATGGCCCTGTTTGTTAACTTTTCTTTTACTTTTAGAAAGACACTTAATTTTGTGCTAGAAATACATAGAAAGGGTTTATTTTGTCTGTTCTGTAAATTTTTTTATACCTTTATATTTTAATCTTTTATAGACCATTTAAGGCAAGTTAATAACACCATTGGTCCGAACGTATTTCCTGATTTACTTTTTTAATTTTCATAGATTCAGAATTTTAAAAAATTATGTGTCATAATAGCTGTTTTAACGTTAAAGTATTATTATTAAATTGTCTCTTACTACAGTTATGAAATAGTTTGACAACAAGCAGGAAATGTTCATAGGCCAATTGCATCACCTCTTTGAAATTGTCTATATTAGCCTGTAATAATTTGAAATAACCTTGTATAATTTAAATGTGAATGTGAAAGTGGTCCAAGAAAACAATACTTCTCTGATAGCCACAAAATTACAATGGGCATTTGAATGAATACTTATTGATGAATATTTTTGATATATAATAATAAAAAATTAATTAACTCCTGTTTACAAAAAAGAATTAAAACTTACAAATGTTTCCACCATTCCCTGTCTCTCCTTGCGCAAGTTTTTGACCACTTGGAAGACGTCAACCAACTTTTCTGTTAATGAGCAATCCATAAGATTCCACAAAGCACAGAAAAGTCCAGTACGCGATGACCCATTGCTGGAAAAACAAGATTAAGATAGATAGATTTAATCTATCCACAGATCCATCCAGAAAAAGTAAGTCTCTGGTATTGGCCTTACCTGCAGTGCACTACTATAGGGATGCTCCTGTTTTTTTTGCTGTTATCATATTTGCCGTTCTCTCTGATGTTCTTTATCATTTCTATCAACTCCTGAGCATTTTCTGGAAGTTCACTGCTTTTCCATTTCAGGAACTGGTACTGGTCTAACTCCAAGATTTCGTTCTTCTATTATAAGATTAAAAACAAATCAATCAGTCCACCTAAAATGATATACTTAAGATATTCTACATTAATTTTGTATGTGAAAACAATATGTGTGTTGAGTAGTTTGTCTTAATTAATAGTATTCGATAAACAGGTGAGAAGTACTCGGATGACTCACAGGTAGGTAAATGAGGTAGGTGATGTGATAATAATAAATGGTCGATGTAGTATGTTTAAATTTAATTTATACTACTCACATTTGTACTATATAGAACATACTTTTTTAAAGGTCGGCAAATACGGTCAAACTCAAAAGTAGAACCAACATGAGTAGTAGTGTTTGATTTCGGACGCATTAATGACTTAATTCAAGGAAGAAAACATGTCTTCAGTTGATAGCATGACAGATATTCCACTTACCTTTGTGGATTGTATTTCCAGGTGACGTTTTACATATGTTGGGAAGCTTTCTGTCTTTTTCACCTCGATTTCCATATCTCCGAACACTTTCTTTTCATCTCCCCAATACTGACTGCACAAATCCTAAAAAAATACAGATGGGTCACCCTACCGGTACATCTAATCAATTAAATTTCAAAAAATGGCTACAGAAAAACAAGAATAGTGCCAAAATCCAAAACATTTGATGTCATTGATGTTTACTTAGTAACCCACTATTTTTATGAGAGAAAAAGTAAACATGCCAATTTTCACTTAAGCCAAAAAATGACTTTTCGAAAGATGGAAGCATCATTATGTTGTTTTTACAAAGAGATCTGATGATCAGTTAGTAAAATCTGTAATCTTTAGCCATATCTGTTGCATTATTTGGCGATCTGTTAGTAAAATCTGTTGACTTTAGCAATATTTCATGCATTATTTTGTGATCTATTAGTAAAATCTGTTGACTTCAGCAATATTTGTTGCATTATTTTGTGATTATTAGTAAAATCTGTTGACTTCAGCAATATTTCATGCATTATTTGGTCATCTGTTAGTAAAATCTGTTGACTTTAGCAATAGTTGTTGCATTATTTGGCAATCTATTAGTAAATTCTGTTGACTTCAGCAATATTTCATGCATTATTTGGTCATCTGTTAGTAAAATCTGTTGACTTTAGCAATAGTTGTTGCATTATTTGGCAATCTATTAGTAAATTCTGTTGACTTCAGCAATATTTCATGCATTATTTGGTGATCTATTAGTAAAGTTTGTTGACTTTAGCAAATGGTTGTTGCATTATTTAACAATCTATTAGTAAATTATGTTGATATTAGCAATATTTGTTGAATTATTTAGCAATCTATTAGTAAAATCTGTTGACTTTAGAAAGAGTTGTTCATTATTTGGTCATTGATTAGTAAAATCTGTAGACTATAGCAATATTTGTTGCATAATTTGGTGATCTGTTAGTAAACTCTGTTGACTTTAGCAATATTTGTTGCATAATTTGGTGATCTGTTAGTAAAATCTGTTGACTTTAGCAATATTTGTTGCATAATTTGGTGATCTGTTTGTAAAATCTGTTGACTTTAGCAATATTTGTTTCTATCTGTTGTCTGGTACTGTGGGAGTTCATACCTTGCCGTCCTCTTGACAGTCTGTGAGCATAACAACTGTTTTAGTTTGCTGCTGGTACAGCATGAGCAGAAACTCTGCTGTTGTGTTTGGTAAAGGCCCTTGTGCTGCGATCAGACTCTTCTGACACCAGTAGCCCTGTTGGAAATCAAAAGGTTTGTGTATGGGTTAAGCTTGGGAAATGTGGCAAATTAATAATTATTTTACATTATGAAAGACATTTTCTTCTCTAGTCCAACAACTCAAATATATAAAATCTATTTAATTATTAAATTCTAGAAAATCAAAAGTCGTACATCTAAGAATGAAGCATTGATGTATTCATTAGATTCTTCTTCTTCTTCATCTGATGAATATGTGTCATCCTCAGGGTCGCTGGTCTGGTTTCCCGCAATGTCCAGCCGAAACAGCACTCGATTATAATCATCTGCAAAAAATATATATCCATAACAATCATCTGATACAAATTCACAACCAATTGAAAATCTTTTTCTTCTGGGTTTACTGGAACTAATACTGTAGGTGTGATTTTTTTAAAAATAAAACGCTATTTCTTTAATTCAATAAAGGTAATTATTATTAGTATTAACAACAGGTCTTAATTTTCCTTTGTTCATGTATTGCTACCCAGTCTGGCCAACACCCATTCAACAATTCATCTAAATAAAACTTTTTAAAAAGGTAAATTTTAACTATATTTACCAAAATGGTTTCATTATTTTCTTACAGTAACATTTGTTTAATGTATTTACTGCTGAGGACACTGATCTGGACAGATTGTTGTGCGCAGATTTATTTTATTATAGTTTTATAACTTTTAAAACATTTGTTTATTTATTTATTTTTGTTTTTTAAAGAAAGTTTATGTTGGAAAAAAGTGTATGGATATAAGTAGAGCTTGCTTATTTTTACACAGTATATAAAATATTTTGCAAAAAAATATGAAAAATAAAAAAATATATATATATACTATTGTTTTAATAAATGTATTAAATGTAATTGTTTTTGATAGGGCAAATAAAATTATTTTCCATCTGGGCCATTTGAGAAATTCCTTAACATTTAGCCCTTTATGAATCTAAAATTCCATTCATCATGATCTAAAATGTCTTAAAAGTCTTAAATTTAACTTGGTGAAACCAGCAAAAAACCTGACTTTTGATAACTATAACAAAAGTTATTATACTTTACACAAACACAACTACAAATCATAGGTCCAGAGAGTTTTGAATGGTCTCATTGAATTTTTTGAATTTATATACTGTATGTGTATTAGGGCGAGATATTGGCGAGTGGGTAGCACTGTCGCCTCACAGTTAGAAAGTCGATGGTTAATGTTCTCTGAGTGTCCACGTGGGTTTCCTCTGGGTGCTCTGGTTTCCCCCACAAGTTCAAAGACATTTGGTACAAGTGAATTGGGTAAGCTAAAGTGGCCATAGTGTATGTGTTTGGGTGTTTTCCAGTGCTGGGTTGTGGCTAGAAGGGCATCCGCTGCGTAAAACACATGCTGAATAAGTTGGCGGTTCATTCCGCTGTAGTGACCCCTGATTAATAAAGGGACTTAGCCAAAAAGAAAATGAATGAATGATTAAGTATATTACTATAAGTCACTGTTGATAACTCACATGGGATGACTTTGGAGTCCCGGTTTTTGTCCTTGTTTTCTTCGCTGCTTCCTGTGTTGATAGTTCTCCAGTTTTTAAATTTCGGCAATTTCTTTGTAAAGCAAGACAGAGAGAAGACTAGCTGCATTAACAGTCAAAAGCACACAATCAGCCAGATAATAAAACCGAACAAACCTGGAACTCTATTTCCATTATGCTCTCATTGCCTTGTTTCTCTCTGATGGTGTTGAGCACTGAGTGGAACTCAGACAGGAGGATCTCTGTCTCTCCAAACTGATTGTGCTCTATTAGAGCTGTGTGGATCAGTATGTACTGGGCCTGATAAAATCAATACAGCATTACATGTTAAATCAAGAAAACACACTCACGAAATCTCATTGCTTGCAAACAGAACTAATCTGACGGACACTTATTCAGGAGTATGATGGATACCTCTATAGTGGTTCAATGTGAAATATATTTTTTCTATATCTAAAGACAACATAACCATCATCAGTTATTTACTCCAGAGCAAATAGATTTGTGTGTTATGCTAAGTTTTACAGCTTACTTTATATTATGGTGAATGAAAAGTTGTCTGTTATTATTTTGACTGATTTACTTAGCATCTTTATATTGTTGTTTGGTAAATGTTATTGTTCCATAAATAAGATTAGATATAAATTGCATTAATATTTAATAGAAATGCTTTAGTACAGGTCTCAGCACTGGAGCAGTTATAGTTATCTTCAAGGGATTAAACAATGTCTCTCACTGGATATTCTAAACTACAGCAAAGCAAATTCTAGAAGACAAAATTGTACATAATTATTATTATTATTTTTTTTAGTATTATGAATATTAAATGACTATGAATCAATTACCAGTTAACATTCAGAATTAAATAAATAAATATGTTAAAAAAACAATAAACTCCGCCTTTTTAAATAAAACTTTTATTAAAAAAAATTTAACCAGACTTAATTTTTTTTGTTGATCAATCGCAAATTACTCAATATAAACCCAAGTGATACTTTTCCCAGAAGACTCACCTCCACTTGCACCATGAGGCAACGCTGGCGACGTAGTTTTGCGACAAATCCATAGATATCAACTCTGTTCTCTGCTTCCAGACTCTCAATCATTGCATCAATGCCAATATAGGTTCCTGTACGCCCAACACCAGCACTATGGAGGACACAACAACATTTTAGTTTTATCAGTTACGGTACATTCTGTGCTACCAAATATGCATAGTACTCTCTAAGGTCTTGTAATATTATGGGACATGAATTTCGAGATATATCCACAAACACACGATCTAGGCAAACCATTATGAGGGATGTTATTAACGTCATCAACACTATTATGATGACCAACAGCAGATTTTTTCATGCTAATGAAATTATACATTATTATTTTTAAAAAATTCCATTTTCGGTTTTTAATCTGAGTGACGGCACATTTAAAACATTGTAAAAGCCATTGTAAATCTACAGAAAAGCTACAGCGAGTAAACAGAAACAGTGACACCAAAGGTGTAAACATGCAGATTTAAGGTTATTGCACTCTGAAATCTAAATCTGAATGTGAAATTTTCATCTGTAATTTCACACATAAAAAAAAGTTAATTTGACCTCATGTTGCGTCAATTGTATCGACACACTGCCTCTGAAACTTTTGTCCGTCATAAAACATTCGAATCAGGTTTGATTGTTTTCTGTTTTTTTCATCTGAAAAGGTGTTTTAAGACATGTTTTGACAATTTAGGGCAGCTATACCAGCGAACCCAAAGTCGAACATGTCATAATCCAAGCCATATAAGTCAAAATCCAAAATGGCTTTGAAGAAACTAATCCACTTGATCTTGCAACACAAAGCCCTTTATTTACAGTAAATGTACTGTTGAAGTCAGAATTATTAGCCCCCCTTTGAATTTTTTTTAAGTCTTATTAGTTTTATTTCAGCTAGAATAAAAGCAGTTTTTAATAATAATAAAAAAAAACACTTTAAGGTCAATATTGATGATTTTTTTCAGATTTGAATACAAAAAAAACACATGAGAAAATTTAAAATTTCAGATTGAAAAGATTTTATAAATATATATTCCTACAGTTACGATATCCAATTTTTCCGTATGCTTAAAGAGAAAGTCAAATTTTTAAGGTATGTCCCCTATCTGTACCTGCAGTGGACCACTATAGGGCCACTGAAGAAGTTTTTGAAGGAGTTGACTCTTCTCCTGAGCTTCAGAAGCTGACCGGGGTCTGTAGGCACGCCATGGTCCGGCCAGCTGATGAACTGGATATGAGTGATTTCTCTTTCTGAGGCCTTCTCTCGCTTCTGTACACACACACACACACACACACACACACACACACACACACACACACACACACACACATGCACAAGATAATTAAATTGCCCAAATAAAAGCACAAAGCAATAAGTGGACCACATGCTTACATTGGCCAGGACCAGATGGCGAATGATATAATCAGGGCAGTGTTCCTCAGTTTTAATTTTAACCACAAAATCATCAAAAATCTCAGTCTCTCTGTCCAGACAAGGCCAGTACTGGGCGCATTTGACCTGAGAAGACAAAAAAATAGTTTTGTTATTGTAAACTGTAATTAATTAGAACAATTAGTAAAAAATATAATTGCTAAAAGGGTTAGGAATGATGACTTGTAAAAAAACACAATGAAATACAATGTTAAGGTTGAAGTTTAAAAAGATAAAAAAAATCTAAATTGCACAAAAAACTATAAAACTTTAATAATAAAAAATTTATAATTTAATAAAAATACAAATAAAAGGTGACCCAACTCAAACTAATAAACTGAACAACCTGGAAATCGTCTCGGGTTACATATGTAATGCTCAGGTTACTGAAGTAACCCTCGGGGAACGGAAATGCTATTAGTGGATTTGATTTAGGAAAATCCACGAATTGGGAGGATTTGGTTCAGAAGCCGCTTGTCTGAAAGAGTATGGAACGGGCCAATGAATGCCAATGAATTGGCAGCGTAAGCTTGCGCAGGTGTGCTTCATTGCCAATTAACCCAGCATATAAGCACACGCAGAGCAAGCAGACACCATCCTTTTTTAGCTGAAGAGACTTTGCTAACAGCTAAGGGCAGTCATTATGGCGAAGGTAAATAGCATTTCCTTTCCCCGAGGGTTACTTCAGTAACCTGAGCGTTCCCCTTCGGGTGGGGAACTCCAATGCTATTAGTGGATTTGATTTAGGAAAATCCACGAATTGGGAGAACTATGGAAAACGCCATAATGACTGCACCTTATTACCAACGCCTCCGATGAGAGGATAGTCAAGCAAGTGTGACGCACCCACATCATGGGAGGCGCGATCTTCCAACGTGTCCCTGGCCCTAACTTATCCCACTTTACTGAAGTTTTACGGATTTAGGTATATTTTTTGGGAAGTCGCGAGCATCTAGATAATTCTAGGAAATGCGACAGTACGTTGAGAGCATGCAATCCCGATAGGGAGGTACGATGAAGTACGGGCTGTAAAACCCACTCTCCATCTTGGCTGGAGGGACCGGCTCGATTGCACCCTTTGCTAGGAGGGCAGCAATCTCCTCTCGCAAGACAGGGGCGGACAGGGGGCTGACTCTGGTGAAATACACACCCGTGAACTTGGGGGGTCGTTTCGCGAACTGGATTGCATAACCGAGTCTAATTGTGCGTATGAGCCACCGCGAGGGGCTGGCCCGCGCTAACCAGGCAGGAAGAGCCCTCGCTCTGGCTCCGCGCCCTAACTCCGTAAGGTGGGGCCCAAGAGTTAGGGGAAAGGAGACCGTCCCCCCAGCGCTCGTGAGCCACTGGTGAAGCACATAGAACCTGCGAGCTAGAAGGCAGCGCGTCCCGGACTCGCAAGGTTCATGCTGTCACATCCGGGGAAGGGGAAAAGTGCTCTTTCATTGATGTTTTCATGGCACTGAAAAGTACCGTTGGAATAGGGGCCCCGCCCTCCAACGGGGAAAGAGCAAGTTTCCTCTTCTCTGCATGGCCTGTCTCAGGGACGCTTCGCGGTCCGTTTACCGGACTTAGCGGCACCCTGGGCAGGGGGGCTGCTGGCCTTCGACATACTCGATGCGGCCGCTTCGCCGGAGGCGCAGGCGGGGGCAGGACAGCACTCATCGGCAGGCGCCCTCAGCGAGAAGCATCGGAGGTGGATGGCTCGGTGGGCGGAGCGGGCTTGCGGTCTCGCCGATAGATGACATTGCCCATCGCATCCGACTGCTCTCTCACCACCTTGAATTCCTGGGTAAACTCACCGACGTTGTCGCCGAACTGGCCAGCCTGGGATATGGTCAAGAAAGCGAACTTTGTCGACATCACACATATCAGTCAGGTTAAGCCAGAGGTGGCGTTCCGGGACCACTAGTGTGGACATTGTCCTCCCCAGCACACACGCGGCGGACTTAGTAGTCCGAAGATCATAGTCGGTCGCGGTGCGCAGCTTGTGTAACAAGCCTGGGTTAGACCCACCCTCTTGCAGCTCGGCCAGAGCCTGCGCTTGGTAGCGCTGGTAGGTGGCCATCGCGTGCAAGGCGGAAGCGGCCTGGCCAGCAGCCTTGTAAGCTCTGGCTCCGAGGGAGGCAGATAACCTACAGGCTTTGGACGGGAGACCGGGCGGACTCCGCCAAGTAGGGGCACCACGCGGGCAAATATTGACCGCGATAACACGCTCCACTTATGGGATCGCCTCATATCCCCTCGCAGCTCCACCATCAAGGGCGGTGAGGGCGGAGGGACATGCAGCACGGGCAGAGAAAGGTGCCCTCCAAGATTGTGTGAGCCTACTGTGCACCTCTGGAAAGAAGGGTACGAGAGGCTTCATCTTCTGTTCCTCTACGTAACACCCATCTAGTCGGTCCAGCCGCGGAGCTGGGGGATGAACCATCTCCAACCCCACGGCCGAAGCAGCCCGGGAAAGCACGGCTAACATGTCCGCTTCAGAATCCGTCTTGACGGTGCTCGCCTGCCCAGAGGGGGCGAGCGGGTCTGGATTTTCATCGGACAGTGAAAGCCCACCCTCCGATGCCGCAGAGGACATCTGATCTCCGGTGTCAGCGAGCGTGAGAGCTACCATCTGATTAGACGGATCACTCCCAGTGCCCGAAGCTTGGATGGAGCGCCTGGAGGAGCAGGAGGTCCGCGAGCCCTTGGCCGGCGGATTATCTCCCGCTGAGACCCTCAGATCTGCCCTAGTGCCCACTGCAGAGCAGGAGGCAACTGGGGTGGTTCGCTCTCTTACAAAATCTAGCCGCGATCTTAGCTCGCAATGGTCATGGCATCGCAGTGACAACATGAACCGCCCGCGAGCACAACATTAACATGCTGGACCCCCAAACATGTACTGCAGTGATCGTGTCCATCATCCGGAGCCAGGAAACCCCTGCAACCAGAAATGCACAGTCGGAGCGTCAATCTGAAAAGGACGTGCTGCACGACTGTGTTGCTCTTTTAGAAAAAATGCAACTATACGCAACGCTCTGGAGGACCAGACCCAAAGAACGCCAGGCAAGGGAGAATTTCCAGCTCGACCGTCTGCCGCCGCGTATACCCACTCTGGACCGGGAGACACTTGTTTGCTCGGAAGTCGCTGTAGTCAGCAAGAGGAACCCTCATCGACTCAATCAGAAAGTCTCTGAAGCGAAAAAGGATGGCGCCTGCTTGCTCCGCGTGTGCTTATATGCTGGGTTAATTGGCAATGAAGCACACCTGCGCAAGCTTACGTTGCCAATTCATTGGCATTCATTGGCCCGTTCCATACTCTTTCAGACAAGCGGCTTCTGAATCGAATCCTCCCAATTCGTGGATTTTCCTAAATCAAATCCACTAATAGCATTGGAGTTCCCCACCCGAAGGGGAACCATAGTTCCCTGAGAGGGAACAAGACACTGGGTCTAACCAGAACGCTAGGGGATCACCTCTTTTATACGCGTCTTGAAGCACATGTGAAATCAATCTAATGTAATTAAGCAGGTGTTGTCAGACCAGGGAGTATGAAAGCCTGCACTGAGCATTCAGTGTTAACTTTGAATTTGCTTGAAAGAAGTAACAGGCAGAAGACAGTATGGAAGAAGACGCAGTGTCTCGTTCCCTCTCGTGGAACTATGGTGACATACGTAACCCGAGACGTTCCCCATCTAGGGAACTTCAACACTGCGTCTAACCAGAACGCTAGGGGAACGCAATACCCACTAGGCCAGACTCACTGCTGACTGTGAACGTACACTAAGCAGTGAGAATAGAGGACCCTGGTGAGGGGTCTATATCGAGTTGATAGTGACGCACAAATGTATGTGGTGTCGACCATTCTGCCGCCAAACAAATGTCAGAAAGGGCAGAGCCCGAAATAGAAGCTTTGGAGGCCCCGACAGCCCTTGTTGGAGTGGGCCTTAACAAATCCAGGTGCGGGTCGTCTAGCAGTGTAAGAAATGAGTCTGCCTCGACCCAACTTCCACTCTAAATGGTGATATGATGCTCATTTCCCAAAAGGGCTGACTTATGAGAGAAAAGAGAAGTCAACAGGGTCTTGTCTCTGCATTGTTTGAGGTGACTACATCTCGACCAAATGGTAACAATTGTAGAATGGGGATGGGGTGTGGTGCACAAAGAACCATCTCATCAATGGTGTTAAAACTGCATTAACATGTAGATAGGGAGAACAGCTGGGTCAACAGCCAAAGAGCAACTTCATTAACATCTAAAGGCAACATCAAAAACAGTATAAAGGTTTGAGTTTAAGGATGTTCAGGGTTCATTCTGACTCCGGTGAACCCAAGGTACTGCCATGTATTTTGAGACTGCTATGCTGAATAAACATCTTCATTGAGATTTTCTTCGTCATCATCATTTTTTCTTACAAGCAGCCTGATAGGTAATTGAGATAGTCTCAACAATCCAATTACTTATTGTCTGCTTATTCGCCGAACTCCCCCTCTTTGAGGGTCCGAAGCAGACCAGTAACTGTTGACTCTTTCTCCAGTTGATAACCCAGTTAACATATGTATTCAGAGCCCTAACTGGGCAGAGTAAATTAAATTTCTCTTGGTCCGACATATAAAATGGAGGTGGATTAAAGGCCTGCAGCACAGCAGGTCTCACCACATGAGTGGGCACCTTCGGCACATACCCCGGTCTGGGATAAAGAACGGCTTTAGTCATGCCTGGAGCAAACTTCAGAAATGAAGGTGCAACCAACAAAGCCTGGAGGTCACCAACTCTTTTTAAGGAAGAAATAGCTAATAAAAAAGCTGTTATTAGTGTCAGAAACTTATCTGACGCCTCCTGCAGTGGCTCAAATGGGGGAACAGAGATGCCCTCGAGCACCAATGTTAAATCCCATGTCGATACCCTGTGTGTGCTGACAGGTCTTAGCCTTATGGCTCCACGAAGGAAGTGATGAATTAGCGCATCCTGTTAGGGGTGTTAAAATTAATCGTTTCTTTGGTGCACTGCGATGCAGACGCGGACGATTCGGTATCGGTTCAGTAATAATCATAACCGGTTTTTACTGACGTCATTTACCTCATATGTGCTCTGTCGCGAGGGAG